ATATATATATTTATATATATATATATATATATATATATATATATATATATATATGTATAATAATTCATTATACATATATATATATATATATATATATATATATATATATATATATATATACATACATACATACATACATACATACATACATACATACATACATACATACATACATATATATATATATATATATATATATATATATATATATATATATATAACATACATATACATACATATACATACATATATATATATAAATAACATACACACACACACACACACACACACACACACACACACATATTTATATATATACAGCATATATATATATACAGCATATATTGTAAAAATCTAATATACAGTGCCCAGCATAAATGAGTACACCCTTACCTTACACGTCTCTCTTTTATTTCTTTTTTCTATGGGAAGCTGTACTATAAGATATTTGAGTATATGCATTAGATCAGTGTTTCTCAAACTGTGGTACATGTACCACTAGTGGTAAGCAGGCTTTCTTCAAGTGGTACGTGGAGAAATTAAATATGTCATGTACATGCTACACACATTTCAAAATGTATCAAAAATGATGTATATAATATGCCATATATGACATATAGACTATATTTTTGAGGTAATCTGCCATGTTTTCAACTGTGCAGAGTTGTAGCTGCTTTACTGGGCCTACTACGCTACTGTATTTCAATACTGCTCATTTTGGTGGTACTTGGAGAGAAATTTTTTTTCTGAGGTGGTACTTGATGAAAAAAGTTTGAGAACCACTGCATTAGATTATTCAGTACTTGACTTATAGCATTTACATACTGGTTCTCTCTGATGAATTGCAGTACTTATGTTATCATCACTTGTAAGTTGCTTGTATCTTTTTTTCCCCCAAAATATATTTATTGGGTTTTGTTTGAACTACAGAACAAAATACTTAAATTAAAAATAAAAATAAAAAGTGAAAAGACAAACGGGTAAAAATGTGAAAATAAATATGTAAATGAATGACATAAATTCAAATGATAACAGTACATAATTAACAAATAAATAAATAATAACAATGTTCAGTGCATTTTTGCATCTTGCGTTTTACAGCTTTTATGTTGGGTCTTTACCTAATTGCCATTGCAAGGGGTTCTATTTCAAGCAAGATTAACACAGGGGACAATGGACACCCTTGCCATGTAAGTTGCTTGAATCTTAATGAAAAATGCTAAATGTAAGTAATTTAACAGTACTACCTAAAAAAATTGTAAAATAAAAATATAAAATAAAATTTTAATAAAGAGAAAAAACATTAAGGGAACCATAAAAGTTTATACATGTAGTTAAAATTTTGTAGTTTAATTAAATTTGTTGTCTTTCTGTTCCTAATAATAATAGGTGACCACACTTTTTAATAATATAATATAATATAATATAATATAATATAATATAATATAATATAATATAATATAATATAATATAATGTAATATAATACAATATAATATAATATAATATAATATAATATAATATAATATAATATAATGTAATATAATATAATATAATAAATATAATATAATATAATATAATGTAATATAATATAATATAATATAATATAATATAATAAATATAATATAATATAATATAATATAATATAATATAATATAATATAATGTAATATAATATAATATAATAAATATAATATAATATAATATAATATAATATAATATAATATAATAAATGTAATATAATGTAATATAATATCATATAATATCATATAATATAATAATTTATATAATATAATATAATCTAATGCGACACGATGGCTCAGTGTTTAGCACTGTTGCCCAACAGCAAGAAGGTCGCTGGTTCGAGTCCCTGGTGGGTCAGTTAACATTACTGTGCAAGTTTGCACTTTCTCCCTCTGTTCTCCCTGTCGGGTGCTCCAGTTTCCCCAACAGTCCAAACACATGCGCTATTGGGGAATAAATAAACAAAATTTGCTGAAGTATATGAGTGTGTGTGTGTGTGTGTGTGTGTGTGAGTGAATGAGTGTGCATGGGTGTTTCCCAGTATTGGGTTGCAGCTAGAAGAGCATCCGCTGTGTAAAACATATGCTGGATAAGTTGGCGGTTCATTCCTTTGTGGCGAAATGAATAATAAAATAAAATATAATATAATCAAATATAATAAGATATTATATAATAAAATATAATATAATAAAATATAATAAGATATACTATAATATAATAAAATATAATATTATAAAATATAATAAAATATAATACAATATAATAAAATATTATTAAAAAAATATAATAAAATATAATATAATATAATAAAATGTAATATAATATAATAAAATATAATATAATATAAAAAATATAATATAATATAATATAATAAAATATAAAATTTATTATGAGCAAACTTTCTCTACAATGCAATCCATTTTAAAAATAAAAAGCAGCCTTTTCCATTTAATAACTGCACTAAACCATATTTCAATTTTAGTTTATTTTGATTGCTATAATATTAAACATGCACAGTTTTTTCACAAGCTTTTCACAGGAGGAACAGTTTTATTGTCTTACTGGTGGCTGGAAGCAGAGTATGGCTCAAACTGGTACTGTAGAGGCCGTTCGGTGCGCAGCTGCAGGTTTTTGACGTACGCTGCATACTGCTGACCCGGATCAAACAGCTTACAGCTCTCACACAGCGTCTGGAAATGCACCGGCAGTGCTGCGGTCTGCACATGCATTGTCTGATAATACGAGATGGTGCACTGGACAGATATGAAAAAACAAAAACACACAGTCATCCCCATTCACACACACCAGCAGCCCTGATCAGAGTGCAAGATTAAGATTAGAGTGTCCCAAATAGAGTATTTCAAATAAAATGTGATGGAGAATGTTTTTCCCGGTAGACTTTCAAAACAAGGGCGACACAACGGTTAGCACTGTGGCCTCACAGCAAGAAGGTCACTGGTTTAAGTCCCGGCTGGGTGTGTGTGTGAGTGTGTGTGAATGAGTGTGTATGGGTATTTCCCAGTACTGGGTTGTGGCTGCAAGGGCGCCCGATGTGTAAAACATATGCTAAATAAGTTGGTGGTTCATTCCGCCGTGGTAACCACTAATTAATAAAGGGACTAAGCCAAAGGAGAATGAATGAATGAATTGTGAGTGGAGTGAATGGTTTCGAGTTCTGCATGCGTCTCACCGCTCGCAGGATCTGGTCCGTCTGTCTGATGAGCTCCTGGATCTGTTTTAACACGTTCACCTTCATGTCCTCCAGCTCCTGCTGTTGAGTCGTGGCATCAGCGATGCAGGTGCGATACGTGGCCTCGGCCTCCTCCGCCTGTAGACCAAAGCCAATACACACTTCATATTAGGGGTGCAAAAATACAGACATCTCAGGGTTTGATTGAGTTTTTGGTTTCAGGGTCACGGTACAGTTCGGTATATGATATACAGTTGAAGTCTGAATTATTAAGGTAACACTTTAGAATTATCTAAAGATATTAGATAGTTTAGAACTATCTGTTATAACTAGTTGATAGATCATTAATAAACTGTTAGTTAAAGGTGCAGTAGGTGATCTGCCAAAATGCTAATCGCTTAGCATATTATCTTTGGACGGCGGGGAGGGACTTTGCTTCAAAGCCACACCCCCTGAAATCGCGAGCGCGCGCTCCGCGTCACAACAGCCAACAGACAACCCACTAGTTCAGGTCATTCGCCAGTTAGTTAGTGCCAGCGCCGTGCAGGAATTACATGAAATACTTTGCCACACTTGCATGCTATTTCAGAGCGAATATTCAGAGTAGCAGTAAACAGTATGTAAATGTGAATATAAAAGCAACGTCAGCTCAATAAAGCAGTTAGGCGGTATAGCGCTATTTACTGATGTTTTGTTGTTAAACTAAATATAAATCTACATTATAGATGCTGTCAAAGGACCTTATGACACTGAGAATAATCACATCAATCTTTCAGCGGGAGATTTCAGTGGCTGAACAACACGTCTGTGCATAGAAGTCATACATAACACAACACAATCTAACATAAAATAGTTTCAAAACAGAACATTACCTGTCTAACAGTGATACTTCAGCCATGGTGTCGTCCTTTCTCCAGCGTGCTAAAGTAACTCCAATATTGATTCAGGTTTTTAAAAGTTTCAATGCAGCTTTTGATTTCTCCCGGTTCGCAGGGGCGGACTGGGACTAAAAATCAGCCCTGATATTGTAGCCACACCAGCCCACATTACCACACCGACACAGCAACATCCAAGGAAACGCACATTGACTACTTATATTGGTGTACAGATGGTAAAATATATAAGCAGTATCTATTTAAGAGATATTTAAACATTTAATTTATGTGACTGGAACAAAAGCAACCCATTTATATATGCAATCATGTAATTCATTTTCTTTTCGGCTTTGTCCCTTTATTAATCTGGGAATCGCCAACTTATCCTGCATATGTTTTATACAGTGGATGCCCTCAAAGCTGCAACCCATTACTGGGTTACCCAATTCCCAATTGGCCTACCCAATTCACCTATAGCATGTGTTTGGCCTTGTGAAGGAAACCAGAAGGAAACCCACGCGAACATGCAAACTCCACACAGAAACACCAACTGACCCAGTTGAGGCTCAAACCAGTGACTTTCTTGCTGTGAGCCGACAGCACTACCTACTGCGCCACTGTACTGCCCCCTTTCGAGACTAGTTCAGTTAATTTTATGTATTTGGCAATGTCTGACTTGACTGCCTTTCCCTTTTTATGGTCCATCTCTGACAATTAGCTTGTGTTGCACTTACTGTTTGTTTGACATTCTTGCCAAATTTTGATTATGTCTGCGTAACCTCAGATTGGGTCGGCCCATCTCGAAACCAGCCAGTTGTTGCTGATTGGGCCGATGCTTAACATTTACTGTTATTCTTACTATTATCACCATCATCATCATAATATTCACATCTCGCAAGAGATAAAAGCTGCCTACATTTAAAAAACAATACATATGAAAAAATAAATAATATTAAAAAAATTGCTGACCGGCCCACATTTAAAAAATAATCCGGCCCTTCTGGCATTTGCCAGAATTGCCAGATGACCAGTCCGCCCCTGCCGGTTCGTCTTGTGACCAAGCGGCCGCTTTAAGGGCGAATTATACCCCCGCATGGCTTTACAGTAATCGGCCAGAGCTCGGCTGTCCTTCGGCGCCTCCGGCTCCGACTCGGCATCGGCGAGCGGCCCGCAGCTCGCTCTGAGCGCATGCGTTTGTGAAGCAGACGGGCACGCGCTAATGGCGGATCTGCGTGAACAGGTGCGCAGAAGTCGGAATCTACATATGCTGATAGACAGTCTGACCTGCTTATCAGAATTAAGGGAGATGACGGTCCGACTCTTTAATTGGATGAACATTTTTTAGTTTTATGCTTTACCCTGAATATAAAAATACATATAAACACATTTAGATCATTTACTGTAATCATTACTATTGGACTGTGAAGAGACTTTCAACCAGCACAACAAAACATGCTTCTGAAGACAATCACCTACTGCACCTTTAATGGGTTATTGTTACGACTTAAGTTTATTATTTTTTTTATTATTGCGGATTGTACTCCTTTTTTCTTTTGTCCCGCCTCCTTGCTGTTTTTTCTGCTGTCTTATAGGCTCCCACGTCAGCGTGATTCCCTGCTCTGATTGGCTGCTGGTCTACGAGGCCTGTATAAAAGGGAGCTTCCGGCAGGAATCGGAGAGCTCATTTCTGCTGCGTTCGGTGTTTGGAGTGGAGCTCCTGGGTTTCCCTCACCCCTTCGGCCGACGACCAACAATAATCACCTTTGTATTGATGACCATCCTATGCTTGAATATTTATTGAGAGTTTGAGCGTGTAGGGGTGACCTGCCTATTTATTTGATTACTTTTGACTTTGTTTATATTAGGAAGTCAGGTAAGATTCTTGTATGTTTCTTTAAATAGTAATAGGTAATTTAGTGGATTTATTTTATAGATTCTTTTGTTTGTTATTTTGGCCTGTGGTCTTTTAGCTTTCCCTAGACTTGGGGCGTAATAGTTATAAATGACTTGTTAAATAAAAGTTAATAGTTTTTAAATTATTTATAACTGTGCCTTATAGATGGCCAATATATAACTTACAAGCTGTTAGTTAACAAGTTAAAAATGACTTGTTAACTGCATTTTAGTAATTTATAATTCTACTTAATAAATTAGTAATAGATCATGAACAAGCTGTTGGTAAATTACTTACTAAAGACTTGTTGAGTTTCAGTTAATAGTTTTTATACGTTATTGGGACGTTATTCTAAAGTTGCAGCTATTCTTCATTAGAAGAATGTCCAGGATTTCAGACGATGTATTCACGTTATTAATTGGTTCTATAATAACATTATTCAAAACATTTTTATAACGCTTCAGTCTCATGTTATATTAATGTTCTTGCACTGTAAAAAGATGCTGTTAAAAAACGGTCAGATTCTACGATAAAATAACGTTTTTTTCACTAAAACAGTAATATTCTGTTAAAAACAGTGCTTTCTGGGTAACATTTTTGTTTTCGAGAAAGTAACCAACTGCAGAAAACTGTGAGCTAACAGAGTTCAGATTCGATGTTTTGAAGTCTGTGTTTGAAATCACACTTTGTGCCCTTGTTCACTATTTCATACACTAGTTAACTAATATAGTTCACCTGACAGAGGTAATGAACACTAATGAGTGAATTCAGACACTGATGAACACCTGCTGTTAATAATTACAATTACTGAAGAAAATAAACAAGAAACACAAACAGTGACTTGAGTTACAACATTAAATAAAATCAAATAAAATAAAACAGCTTCAGTTTCAGCAGAGGATCATTAAACAACTCCACAAACAACAGCAGACACACTTATTACTGACTGATTTGACGTCCATACTATTCTCATTGAGATCCAACAGAAATTAAGGTGTTTTTTGTGTCACCGTAATGGAGTGAGGGGCTGGTTTAGTTGGGTTCTTCACCCTTGAACTCATTTAAGAAGACACTCCAACTGCTGTAATACAGAGTTTACAAAATGTTTGAACTATAGCAATAAAGTTGGGAAGTCAATAAATAAAGAAATCTATTTATCTGAAATTAGTTCTGATAAATGTTTTGGTATATATCTGGAAGAAGGGCCACATGCAATAGATTTTATGCTTAGTTGCAGGTATTAATTTAATTAATGAGAAGTGGAAACAGAAAAGATACCTCTGTAATTACTTAACAGTTAAGAAATAACATACAAAAACAGTTCAGTTATGACAAATACACACTCAGACCTCATGAATCTGACCTTGGATCTCAACAATGGTAACATCTCAAATGTTTCATGCTGCAATGCATGCTGGGAGTGGCACTGTACAAATATCCCAGCATGCATTGCGGTATAAATAAATGTTGTATAATGGTCTAACGGTTTTCTTTATTTGTGTTTGATTCTGCTGTTGTTTATGTTTAGACTTTCAGTTGCCTGTTTGTGAGTTAAACTGTTAATTTTGTTAAATTTGTTGTCACCATTATTGAGGTTCATATGCTGATTATTGATGTCTCTTTGAGTGCGATTTACACCATAGAGCAGTGTTATTGTCCAAGATATTCTTAAAAACTTCCAGAAATCATTGCAATATATATATATATACATATAATGTAAAACAATAGATTTAACATTGAATAGGAGCAGTACATTTTATAATACTAGATGAGAATAGACTCTTCCATTTAATAGCAATATGAACATCACCAGATCTTATTTAGGTTTTTGGCTGGCTTGCCTCAACAAAGGAGCTTTTTAAACAAAGTTCTTAACAATTGCAGCAGCCAAGATATATAAATGTTAAAAATGACAGGGCTAAGAGCCCAACTAAAGCAAACTCTGTTCTCCATGATGGTGACGTAAAACTTTCACTTTTTCTCAAGAAGAACTTTAGTAAATGTTATACAAAAATACATGTATTAAGTAATAAGTGTAGCTGATGATGATGTTTGTAGAGTTGTTTAATCATCCGCTGATCATTTAAATGATTTAATCATTTGTTGTTCTTCAAGTTATTTCATTATAAAGCTGTGACTAAAGTTTTGTATTTTCTGTTCTTGTTTTTTCCCGTCAGTATTTCTTCATTTGTTCATTGTTAATCCTCAATTATCATTTAATTAGTCAGTTAATTAATGAATTTACTTCAGCTTTGCTCCATGTTTCTTGAACACTCAGTAGTGTGGACACTTCAATTAAAACTGAAGTATATGCTCTGGGGTTTAAAGGGTTAAAGGTGTGAGAGGTAAAAACACAGTGTAAAAATGTATTTTAACAGTAATATACTGTTAATTTACACAACGGAAGTAGACTGTAAAAAAACAGTATATTGCTGGCAACCACAGCTGCCAGTAGATTACTGTTAAATCAAGGAAAAAACAGTATTTTACTGTAAAACCTGAAGCTAATTTCTTCTGTGTGTCACCGTTGTGGAGGAGAGTAGAGCCAGTGTATGAGTTAAAGATGAACAATGAACTGTTGATGTTATTCTGCATGTTTCTCTATTTAAAGATAGCGGCTGTTTAGTGGCTGATGCAGTCAGAATCTCTCTGGTGATTCCAGATTTACATGTATGTGTGCTGTTGTGAAAAATAAGACATTAGAGTTAAACCAAACTTTTCTAATTAACTAAAATAAGTTATCATTATAAGTATGCTTCTAAGCATATATAGCACATTACTTCATAAACTCATTCAGCAGTTGACCAAGTTGAGGCAGTTGCTTTCAGTGAGCAAAATGAGTTCACTTGAGTATTGTGTAAATCAATGTAGTCCATGTATTTTTACAGCAACATACTGTAAAATAACAGTACATTGCTGGCAACTGCAGCTGCCAGTATTTTACTGTTTTTTAACGGGACAATTTTTAACAGTGTGGAATGTTATATAAACATTACTAGAACATTCCATGCACATTATGTTAATATTCTAAAAAAGCTTCCCTCAAATTCTCTGTAAGTTATAAAAACATTGAAGGTTCTTAGAATGTTCAAATTGTCCAGGTTTTCAGATAACGTAATAACGTTATTAATTGGTTAATGTAACGTTAATCAAAACATTTTTATAACGTTTCAGTCTCATGTCAAATTAATGTTCTTACAATGCTTTTTACTTCATTAGATCAAATTAAGTTTCTCTCTCAATGTTCCATTTGATTAAAACATTATTTTAATAACGTTCCATTCTAACATTTAGACAACTTTTAAAGGGTCACGAAACACCAAAACACATGTTTTGAGCTGTTGACAGTCGTATATGTGTCCCACACTGCTAAAAACACTATTAGGACACCTATATTTCACTAAAAAGTGTAAATTGGTTGTTTTCGCGTTATTTCAAGCAAATTCGTACTTCCGGTTTAAAAAGAATTTTTGAAGCTGCGTCACGGTCATGACATAATAGCGTATTCCAGCGTGCAGACTGGGCGTCTGTGCCAGAGTGTGTCTTATTACGTCTTACAGTGTGAGGCATTAATGCATGAGTAAAGCTTGGTTGAAACCAATCAGCGCGCTCTATTGTGCAACTTCATTAATATTCATTACTGTCACAGTGTTTAGACGGCAGAGACGCCACGTTGTGTTGGCAAAACAAGCGTGAAGTGTTGCTTTTATAGTTTGCTGCAGTTCAGTTTTGTTTTCATTTTCTCTCTGTGAGAGCTCAGACTCGCGTGTGGATTACAGTGTACGCGACGCGCGACAACAATAACTTACGTGTCTAAGGAGGATTATTGTTTACCTGAGAGCTGTTCTCATCTGCAAACGCTGAGATCCGGATTCGCTTGTAGTCTCCTCTTAATAAAGACGCGGCTCTAGTTGCTGGTGATTGTCCTGTCTCTACAGATTTGGTTATTGAGTGACCAGTGCTCTTTGTTTATTCAGTTTGTTCGTATCGAACAAACTATTGCACCGAGTGTAAACATGTTAGCACCACAACCAAACTTTAACCTCGTGTAGGATTTCGCTACCTGCTATGTGCATCTAAGTGTCCGGGAAATGCTGAGGTTTTTTTCTCTCATTCGCCGTGCGGTATCAAACATTGCATGAAAAATACACGCTTAGAGTAGTTCCTCGAATCAAATATCTTGTTTGTCGCGAGGGGCATGAATGAATTCCCTGAATGAAAGACAGTTAAAGTTCACCATTTAATAATTTGGCAAATAATTCGACTACAGATGTCCATGTAAACACAGTCGCGTGCCCAAATAGACACTCCCACACCGTGCCTCTTTTCTTCCTTTGACACTCCCCCCTAAACAGAGCTGGACACGCCCACTTTTCTGGCTTTTTCCAAAGTAGAGGTGTGAAAACACCCTGCTGAAACGAGGGGCTTTCATGGCCCTTTAAGCAATGTTATGGAATGTTCCAAGTGCATTCCCTGTAAGCTGAGTACACATTATTTTTTCTTGCCATGTTTCTTTATTGCACTAAACAATAAAGTTAATTACTTCATTGCATTAAACTTTAACACTACTGCAATTTTACATGGAAAATAACAGTAACTAAAACAGATGATGTCAATCTGTTAAACACTGCTGGCTTCCCAAATCTGACCACAAATGCACAGTCACACTCCCTTTACACGAAATGTGTTGCATGTTAAATCACTTCCTGTTTGATTTCACTGACCTTGTTGCGTGCTTCCTCTTCTAGTCGTCTCTTCCTGTCCAGAGCTTTAGTGGTTGAGCCGCTTCCTGTACCGCTTTGTTCCTCTTCCACCTTATTGGCTACCGTCCTGGCTCTCTCGTACTCCTCACAGCGGCTCATGTACAGCTGACGGGCCTTACGTAGGTTACTCTCCGCATCAGCCTGACCAAAACAACAATACACAACTCTATTATTGCTAACGCTAAATAAAGGTGAATACAGCCGAATACAGACAAAATGATTCGACCTCCAGTTAATTTTTTGGTCTTTTCCAAATATTTCCCAAGTGCTGTTTAACAGAGAGAAACATTTATAAACACATTTATAAACATAACATTTTTAATAACTACATTTATAACAACTAATTTCTTTGCTATGATGACAGAACATAATATTATACTAGTTATTTTGTTTGTTATTATACTAAAGCTGAAAGTGCAGTTAAACATTACACACATGCTCTGACCAGTCACATACACTGACACTCCTCTGATCTTACTCTGAGCAATACAGGTATTAGTGGTGTTATTCTAATGCAATTTATTTATTTTTTAATTTCACCCTGCATGCAGTAAGGCATCGCAACTCAGGGCAATATCTCAATTTTGTACAGCAGATTTTATGTCTTTTCGACGTCCTAGATGATAAATATACACATTTATTGTTATCTATTTTTCAGTAAATATAGGTAATATATTTTGGTGCACTTGAACAAAACAGATTAATTACACATATATATTTATTAAAAATTCATTCATTCATTTTATTTTCGGCTTAGTCCCTTTATTAATCTAGGGCCACCACAGCGGAATGAACCGCCAACATATCCAGCATATGTTTTACGCAGCAGATGCACTTCCAGCTGCAACTCATGACTGGGAAACCCATACACTCACATTTACTACAGACAATTTAGTTTACCCAATTCACCTATAGCGCATGTGTTTGGACTTGTGGGGGAAACTGGAGCACCCGGAAAAAATCCACGCCAAAACAGGGAGAACATGCAAACTCCATACAGAAATGCCAACTGACCCAAACAAGACTTATTTATTAAAATAATATTTAATAATAAAAATAAATTGTAATTTAAAAAATGAATAAATTTATATTTTAGTCACCAAATATCTATAAATAGAAAGATAACACATTCAAATTCAAGCAAAATGTTGCAAAAAAAAACTAACTAAATATATTTTTTTGTTTCTTTTTTAAAAACATTTTTATTTAAATTTTTTTCCCTAAAATATAAATTTGGGTGTACTAATTTTGAATCTTTATCATGTTATTTTGTTAGATTAGCTCCAGATTTGGCTTCAGTACTAACTAATTTAATGTATATGCAGAAATTTAATATTGTAAAGCTTCCTATAGAAAATACTTGTTTAAAAGATGTGAGAGGGGTCAACTCATATATGCTGAGCACTATCAATATATATATTGACATATATATATATATTTTGATCCAGACAAACTTCATTCCAGACAAACTCAAATGTTGTTGCCTAAAATTAAACTTTCTCCAGGAGAAAAATTATGATAGGGAATGCTGTGAAAATTTCCTGTTGAAAATCCCCTGGGAAATATTTAAAACAGAGTGAAAGTTTCACAGGAGGGCAAATAATTTTGTCTTCTTCTGGCAGGGTTGGGTTGTGTTTATGTGGTTGGTGGTGATTGTCTACCAGTTTTCTCTTGGCCCTCTGCCACTGCTCTTTAATGTCTCTGCGCTTCTTCTCGTGCTCCTGTCTGCGCTGCGTCATTGGCTGAATAAGAGAAGGAGAGAAAGAAGTAAGCTTTGGTTTATTGCATTTCATTAGAATTATACTTGGGTTAACACCTGACAAGAACATATCTATGTTATCCAAAATTCTGAATGAAAAACAGATATGAGAACTGAAAAAGTCTAAACTAGAGAACAATGCATGAAAACAAATCTTTTTAGCTCTCCTTTTACATTTTATTAAATTATGTACAGTGCATCCGGAAAGTATTCATAGTGCTTCACTTTTTCCTCATTTTTTATGTTAAAGCCTTATTCCAAAATGGATTAATTTGATTTATTTCCTCAACATTCTACACACAATCCTCCATAATGACAATGTGAAAAAAGAGTTTTTGAAATTGTTGCAAATTTATTAAAAATAAAAAGCTGAAAATCACATGTACATCAGTGTTCACAGCCTTTGCTCAATACTCTGTTGATGCACCTTTGGCAGCGATTACAGCCTCAAGTCTTTTTGAATATGATGCCATTAGCTTGGCACACCTGTCTTTGGGAATCTTTGCCTATTCCTCTTTGCAGTACCTCTCAAACTCTATCAGGTTGGATGGGAATCGATGGTGTACAGCCATTTTCAAATCTCTCCAGAGATGTTCAATAGGATTTAGCTCTGGGCTCTGGCTGGGCCACTCAAGGACATTCACCGAGTTGTTGTGAAGCCACTACATTGATATTTTGACGGTGTGCTTTGGGTCATTGTCCTGTTGGAAAATGAACCGTGGCCCCAGTCTGAGGTCAAGAGCACTCTGAAGCAGGTTGTCATTCAGGATGTCTCTATGTGCATTGCTGCATTCATCTTTCCCTCTATCCTGACTAGTCTTCCAGTTCCTGCTGCTGAAAAACATCCCACAGCATGATGCCAACACCACCATGCTTCACTGTAGGGATGGTATTAGCCTGGTAATGAGCGCTGCCTGCTTTTCTCCAAAGAGTTCAATTTTAGTCTCATCAGGCCAGAGAATTTAGTTTCTTATGGTCTGAGAGTCCTTCAGATGCTTTTAGGCAAATTCCAGGCGGGGAGTGTTTTCCGTCTGGCTACTCTATCATACAGGCCTGATTGGTGGATTGCTGCACAGATGGTTGTCCTTCTGTAAGGTTCTCCTCTCTCCACAGAAGAACGCTGGAGCTCAGACAGAGTGACCATCGGGTTATTGATCACCTCCCTGACTAAGGCCCTTCTCCCATAATCACTCACCTTAGATGGTCGGCCAGCTCTAGGAAGAGTCCTGATGGTTCCAAACATCTTCCACTTACGGATGATGGAGGCCGCTGTGCTCATTGGAACTTTCAGAGCAGCAGAAATGTTTCTGTAAGCTTCCCCAGCCTTGTGCCTAGATACAATCCTGTCTCGGAGGTCTACACACAGTTCCTTTGTCTTCATGCTTGGTTTGTGCTTTGACATGCACTGTCAACCCTGGGCCCTTATATAGACAGGTGTATGCCTTTTCAAATCATGTCCAATCAACTAAATTGAAAATAGGTGAACTCAAATGAAGCTGCTGAAACATCTCAAGAATGATCAGTGGAAACAGAATGTACCTGAGCTCAGTGTAGAGCTTCATGCCGAAGACTGTGAATACTGATGTACATGTGATTTTACAGCTTTTTAATTTTTAATAAATTTGCAACAATTTCAAAAAACTCTTTTTTCACATTGTCATTATGGGGGATTGTGTGTAGAATGTTGAGGAAAAAAATGAATTTAATCCACTTTGGAATAAGGCTGCAACATAAACAAATGTGGAGAAAGTGAAGCGCTATGAATACCTTCCGGATGCACTGTGTGAGTGTGTGTGTGTATATAATAATGTATGTACAAACTGTTTGTACAAATAACAAATATACTTTTTAAAACAATATTTTAGTCACCAAACATCTTTAGAAACAGAACGATAATACATTTATATTCATGCTAAATATTGGGGAAAAAATTATAAATTGCAAAATTTTATCAAATTTTAATATATTTGATTTTTCCTATTTTTAAATTTTTGATTTAATATTTTTACTTAACATAAATCTGGGCAAATTTAAGGGCCGTTATCATAAGTTATTTTGCTAGATTAGCTCCATATATATATATATATATATATATATATATATATATATATATATATATATATATATATATTATGTTTAAATAATAAATATAAACTTTGTTTAATATTTAATGATATTTACTTTAAAATTTGCAAGGGGACATTATTTTTGTTAGACATAACCTTGTTTAACCCACTAAAGCAAAACATATCTTCGCAGTGTCATTTTGCTGTAACATGTCACCTGTAGGAAGGAGTGTGTGTAGATGTTGTTTGTGGTCTGCTGTAAACCGCAGCTCTGCTCAGAGTCCTGCTCCAGAGCCAGAGAGAAGATGGACAGCAGAGGCATGTGATCCTGAGAGAAACAGAGAAAACTACAATAAGAAAACTCACTTACTATAAACACACGACATCAATGTAGAATCAGCAACACTTTGAGAAACAGCTCATACTCATAATTCTGTATTTACATAGAACATAATCATTCAATCATTATTGACCTATTCAAATTCACAATCTCAGTGTTACTTTAGGCTGCAGAAATACAACTAAACACACCCATTGGGTGGCATAATTATGTACCTGTATGATGTTTTGTTTGCAGGACTGGTAGAGTCTCTGGAGACCTTTAGAAAACTCGTTCTCTGTGACAAAAAATATGTAATAATAAATGTAAAAATTATTCATACTGCATTCATATAAGGAGTTCACAAAATCACCAATAGAGTATTTTCACAATGCATCATGTATTGACTGTATTGGAGGCACAAAATATAAACAAAGCAACTGAACTGAACAAAACTGGCATTATTTTGCAGATTACTGCTGCTGAGATGATCAATTATTGTCATGTTTTGGCCTGTACTAATAGGTTAGACTGTCATTATAAATATATCATGATTATAAAGGTTTCAGGCGACGCAGTGGTGCAGTAGGTAGTGCTGTCGCCTCACAGCAAGAAGGTCGCTGGTTCGAGCCTCATCTCAGTTGGCGCTTTTGTGTGGAGTTAGCATGTTCTCCCTGTGTTTGCGTGGGTTTCCTCCGTGTGCTCTGGTTTCCCCCACAGTCCAAAGACATGCGGTACAGGTGAATTGGGTAGGCTAAATTGTCCATAGTGTATGTGTGTGAATGAATGAGTGTGTATAGATGTTTTCCAGTGATGGGTTGCAGCTGAAAGAGATTCCACTGCGTAAAACATGTAAGCTGGCGGTTAATTCTGCTGTGGCGACCCCGGATTAATAAAGGGACTAAGCAGAAAAATAATGAATGAATGAATGAAGTTTCATGTTTGAAAAATGAATGTCAAGAAACAGCAGATAGATGTAGTAAATGTGCAGTGTGTGATTACCGAGAGCAATTCTCTTGTCGACGTAGCTGATGATGTCCTTCATGTATTTGGCGATGGATTTGGAGTAACTCAGAGCCGAGTCGACGCCGCCTTCACTGCGCTGCAGGAGAATATCCACCTCCTGAGGACTGACTGCGGACACGCAACAACAAACCAACAGATTTTTATTTAGATTTTTTTAAGCCATTAAAATAGAGGCCAAACAAATAAAAGTAGAAAAATAATAAATAAATTTTGAAAATTATATGGAGTTTGGTATAAAAAACAAACAATTAAATTTAAAAAATGATTATTTACCACAGTGGTCACCAAACTTGTTTCTTGAAGTCCGGTGTCCTGCAGATTTTAGCTCCAACCCTAACCAAACACACCTGAACAAGCTAATCAAAGTCTTACTAGGTATACTTGAAACATCCAGGCGGGTGTGTTGAGGCAAAATGGAGCTAAACCCTGCAGGGACACCTGCCCTCCATGACCAGGATTGGTGACCCCTGATTTACCAGGACCCCAAGCATTAGTCAGGCTTAATTGAACAATACACGTGTTGAAAATGGTTAACATAAGTAATGTATACTAACCAGGGATGCGTTTCCAAAAACCATCATTAGTCAAATAAGGTTACAAGTTCCGCCATTACAAACCTAATTTGTGGATTTGGCGTTTCCCAAATCTATCGTTCCAACAAACATTCGCAAACTGTAAACTTGTATGCTTGCAACTACACCTCTGGAGCTGTAGTTAGACGCATAATTCCTGGTTGTGCTCTATTCCCAGTTATCCTCCCTATGCCCTGTTCATTTAGAGGTTTCCAACATTTAAACTTGAAAAAAAGGCATTAAGGTCATCTCTCTGATGTGTAATTTGCTTTTAAAGTGTTTTTACAGTTCAGTTTTAGCTATCTTCATATTGACAATTGTGCTCACTTCGCAGTGCACTTTGAAATCATTCATGCCATTTTGAACGCAGCCGTGCCTCATGACGAAAGCTATAGGTGACCTGTTATTTAAAAGCAGTCTAGCATTCATTAATGGTTTTATAGGTTATTTATTAAGAAATCTATCTGTACTGTAGGCCTATATGATGTATAATTGTTATCATAAGTAAGTAGGATTTTTTCATTCATTCATTCATTTATTCATTTTCTTGTCGGCTTAGTCCCTTTATTAATCCGGGGTTCCCACAGCAGAATGAACCACCAACTTATCCAGCAAGTTTTTACGCAGCGGGTGCCCTTCCAGCCGCAACCCATCTCTGGGAAACATCCACACACACACTCGTACACTACGGACAATTAAGCCTACCCAATTCACCTGTACCGCATGTCTTTGGACTGTGGGGGAAACCAGAGCACCCGGAGGAAACCCACGCGAAGGCAGGGAGAACAGGCAAACTCCACACAGAAACGTCAACTGAGCCGAGGTTCGAATCAGCGACCTTCTTGCTGTGAGGCGACAGCACTACCTACTGCGCCACTGCTTCGCCGGATTTTTGTCATTTATTAATAAATAGCCTACTGTAAATTACAACTATTAACGATTTATATATATATATATATATATATATAT